GTGTGCGAGTATCTCAGCAGGCATGGATGAGGCACGCAGTTTGTGTCATAAGTTTTCCAAACCGTGGTCTCAATCTGAATTCCTTGTACTGTTAATATTCCTTGTGTGTTGATCTCTTCACAGACTTCAGAGTTTCTGAGGAGATCGGCAAGTGGCAGGGTTTGGTGGTTGCTTGAGGGATCCCTAGATGACGGGTCTTCATCATCTTCATCATACCAAGCCGCTGAGTTCTCAGTCCCCCGTATCAAAAATGTGGGTCCTGCACGCTTAGCTGGCCCTTTACCTGGAAACGCTGGCCTTGAGTTTGTGGCAGGGGTGATCTGTTACTCAAACCTAGACGGAAGTCCCTCTTGCTTGCCAAGGCTCAGAACTGCTCCGTGATAGTCCAGCCCGGTGTCTCGGAAGCGGCCTAAGGAGTTCGGAATATACAGCTCCTCCCTTTCCTCGTTGCGGAGGTGTACAAACCTCAGACCAGCTCTAAGCGAGCGCGTTGAGGCTCAACGTGATCGAGGCAGCTACCGTCCCCATGCCTAAAGTCAAGCTCAGTCTGACTGACAAGTGCTGATGGTGCCACAGCTACTTGCCCGGTTCATTATAAACCTGTCTACCACGGTTCATACATGCACAACACATCATGAAAATGTCTGTGCACGTTGAACAGCGTACGGCATCTGCCACCATAAAAAGTGACGCTGCAACACAAGTCCCTCGGGCATATTTCCTTAGCCTTCAATGATGTAAGTAGCCATGTAAACTAACTCTTTCATTGCACTCAAACATCAAATAATTATTGGACAAGGGTCACATCAGGCACCGCGGGCCGGCGTTTCCGAGCAATACGCGCGACGCGTGTTGTCGTTGTACCAATGCAGCCGCTGCTCCGGGAGGCCCTGCACTCATTCCAAGGCCCCTCCCAGAAGCTTGGAGACCAGCCCAGGGTGGTGGGAGAAAAGGAGCCAGGAAGCTCTGCCTCCACCAAGTGGCCTCCAAATGTCAAGCTCTTGGTCTCCAGAAGGGCGCTTAAGGAGTCAGGTGGGTAGGCAGTAGAGCATCTCTCCTTGCAAAGCCCAGGCTGGTGGCTCCGGATACAGAAATCATAGGAATTGTTGCGTTTGCCCTCCGGCGACGCAAGAATCTCTACGCGCCTTTCCTCGTCGCCGCGGCAGGGGCCCTGAAAGCACCAAGCGGAACGAAAGGACAGGGTTCTGAAGTAGCGGTTCAACTCCTGAAGCCAGTTCATACAAGCAAATTAAGGTTAATTACCTTCAATGGTTTAAACAAGGATTATGTGGGGATACATGGGGCTTTACAGGGATTTGGGGGGTCCCAGAATAAGGATTATAGTATTTCTGGGTATATATGATCCAAAGCATTCATGGGCATTTGTCGGGGACAGGCTTGGAAATTGGAAAGCATAAGGAACATGAACAAAAAACAAAATGATTCGATTTGGCTGCTCGGCCCCGTAACTCGCCCACCAGAACACTCCCTTATACTGCTACCCCACACCCAAAACAGAATCCTATTGCTGGAGCTGCCAATGGCCGCAAGAAAAATATATCTCTCTTCATAAGCCTCCACATGCTTTTCAACTCAAGCAGCGGCAAGAGGAGCATCTTGAAGTACGAATCCACCTGTGCGGTGCGCACAGAAAAGGCCTTGGTGCCCTACAGGTGCCACTATGCCTTTGCTCAGCGGGCCAGGGTGCGGGTTCTAGGGAAATCTCTGGGTAATATTGCTTGGTGTTGGGGTCGCTGCCTTGTGCTGGACCGCCAGTGGCGCAAGCATCCCAAAGCTCGGAGAACGATGCCAGAGCCATGGCAATCTGTAGATATCCGTCCTGCCTAGGACTTAGGATCAGTACCCGCTTTTTCAGCATAATGCTGCTCGCCGGAATGACGGGGTACCATGCTTGCTAATATTCATTTTGCCATGCTTACCACAGGTTACCTCATTTGCCTTCTCCAGTGATTACGGGTGATTCGCATACTCTGGCTTTCCAGATCTTGAGCAAATGCCATCGGCGGCCAACATGGTTTTGAACTAGGGTTGGGAGCTTCCAGTGGAAGCTAGGCCTCTGGCTTTGGATCCGCCCCAGGGCTCTCAAAGGACCCTTCATCTTTGGAAACTAGCAGCAAGGTCGTAAATCAGACTCGAGGGCTCATGCAGCTTCACCTAAATTAGGCCCACCCATATAATGCCATGACTACCATCCTGGACAAGCTTTCCTCTGGTCGCTGCAGGAGATGCTACTGCATGTAAGGGATGCAGTGTGCTAGAAAAGTAGAGGCAGTAGGAATTTAGAGTTGAGGCTGGTGTGCGAATGCACCTATCACCCAAAGCCAGATCATGCCAGATCTGGCTCCTGGACGCACCTGGTGTAGGATGAGGAGTTTTGAGTGTAAATGTCTTAGATCAAAAGACTCTCTTCAAGTAAGTCCAAGCTGAACTCTCCGAACTATCCATAGGCCTATATGACAGCTTCTCTCATCCGCTAGGTGCCAGCGATTGGGGAGGAGAAGAATTCTCTTGCAACTAGCATTCCTTCTGCTACGAGCAGGATGAAGATCGCCACCGCAATTTTTCAAGCTTGCACCTTCAGCCCCAAATGCGACTAGTCAGGACCCATGGCAGGCGGCCGCCTCCACCAGGACCTGCGCAGCCTCCACAGCAGTGTCCTGGCAAAGTGTTGCAACAGCGTGCCGAAACCTGGTCTGGGATCTGACGGACAGCATAGCACCTCCGCATGTGGCGAGGCAGCGACGAAAAAAATCGCCCGCCAGCCTCTGCCGGGCAGTCTTGGGAGACAGCTGGCTAGCGGCTAGTGCTAATTCTATCCCTCAAAATGGTCTTTTCTCGTAGGCTCTTTTTTCGGGCTTGGCCTCGATTCAGATTCGGATCTGCTGATGCAATGGGGACGTGTAAGCCCTTCTCTGTTGTTGCGACCTTTAAAAAACCGACAGTGGAAGCGACAATATGCATGTAGACCTTTTCCTGTAAGCGTGATCTCAAATTAGCTGAACCTGCAAAGTTTCGAACCTCTGGCCAGTGCCGATCTCTTGCTCATGTAGACTAGTGACCTGCCTCTCTCACAACTTGTGACTTGTGGCAACGTTACCCTTTGAACCTCTTCTTCCAGCTTCCGGTAGTCCAGCTGTAAATGACCATGAAACCTTGCACATAGCTTACTAAGGGAAGGGGTTCCACATACTCTCGCATGCACCCCATGTGCAGAAACCTGGCACCCAAATTGTTCAACAACCCACCCGATAAGATCCCGTATATAATCCCAGTTTCCATTTCATTTTCCATTTTCTTTTCCATTTGATTCTCCATTACAGTAGTTTCCATTTTCTTTTCCATTATCCCAATATAACTCCCTATAGGTTTAGGGTTCAGGTTTCAGGGTCTTTGTCTAGGGATCCCAGGCCTCGGCTCTTCCGCACCCGTAAGA